GAGCATGTCACAATGTGATCTCCCACAGAGATCTCTCTTGAGGACAGTGCCTAGTTTAATCATTGTGTTCATCGGCTTTCTGTCACTGTAACACAATGCCTAAGATAATCAACTTATAGGGGATAAAGGCTTATTTTAGCTCACAGATTTGGAAGTTTCACTTCATGGTCAGGTGTCCCATTACTTTTGTGGTGAGGCAGTACAGCATGGCAGGAGCATATAGAGGAGAAAATACTCACTTCATAGCCAGAAGCAAGAGAGAGGAAGAGGAGAAAACAGGGCCCAATATCCCCGTTTAAGGGTATATCCCCAATGAGCTAACGTCCTCCCACTAGGCTCCACCACCTTCTAATAGCACCAAGCTGGAGACTAAGCCTTTAACACACAGCCTTTGGGGGAACACTACAGATTGAAACTATAGCTGAGACATGGCTCAAGTGGTAAAGCACCTGGCTAACCTGCTTGAGGCCCTGAATTCAAACCCAGTACTACCAGATCCAAACTATGGCAGTCATCCTTGTCTTGATAGCACAAAGCAAGGACTCAAATGTCAGTTGAATAAATGAATGTCTGCTAATAAACACACATTAAGACTCTGAGCTTTCCTTCCAAATCTATGATTTGCCTTTCTATTCTCTCATGGTTTTGCAGAACTCTTGGGTGCAAGATTGATTTTTCTAAAAGAAAGTTCAAACAGCTGAGTTTAATTTTGGTATTTTATGGTTCTTACGTCACAAGAACATACAATAGGAAGGCGGGATTATATTCTATTACAAGGTAAATGGGCAGGCTGGCTTTGACAAAGCCAAGAAGAAAATGCAAAGTACCATCTGATGGTGCCAGCTGATGTTCAGTACACTATGCCACTCTCCCCATCACTCCTCAGAATGTACATGCCCAGACAGACACAAGCCAATAGCAAATCAGTCTCAGAAGTTTAATCATAACCCACCAACACAAGAAACTGTCTCATAGTCAACACCAGAATGAGTCTATTATTAGCATTGCTAATCACTAATTAAAATCTCAAGATTAAGTTTCTGGCACATCTTGCTACATCTGTGCAGTGGGCAGGTCCCAGATGGGATGCAAGCCAAGTTTGAGGCCTGTTTTTTCTTAATAGGTCATTCCTACAAAATATCACAAATATTGTAGGTGACAGAATTGTGCAACAAGAGAATATTCTGCATTCAGCCCTGTTCTTGACTCTGCAGATATCATAGAAGTTGCTGGCCAACTAGTAGATCCCAGAAACAAAGCCACTGCATAAAACACCAGAAGATACCTAGATTTACTCCTTTAGAAAAAGAACAGTCACAATATGTAACATACTCCACTCTCCCCTGGAACTGACTGAGAAGGGGTGTACTGGAACCTTCTGAGTGATGGCAGTGTTCTAGCTCTTGATGGGAGCAGTGTGGGTGACACAGGAGCATGTGTTTGTCAAAGCTTACAGAACTGTTTTAAGATTAACAGCATTTTGTAGTATAGGAATTTTAGGGAAAAAAGAACTATGCATAAATACTGAATTCCAGTTACTAGGCTCATTTTCTGTAGTAGCAGAAACTAACAATTTTGAAACTACTTTTTGGTGTATTCTAGACTTGAACAAGTAAGAAAATATATCCAAGATTACAGGAACCAGGTTTCTCCCTGTTGGGAAAGGTAGTTACAAATATGGAAAGGAAAAAATTATAAAATCACCAAAGGGGATAAAATAAATACACTATGTACCTCCTGACAGGAGGATACAACATCACTCCTTTGGTATTCTTTCCCAAGATTCATTAACCGGAATGTGATCACAAGACAACATTAGGTTAAATCCAAACTGAGGAAAAATAAAACTGGTAACGTGTCAAAAGTTCAAGGCTAAGCAAGACAAAGAAAGGCTATGGAACTTTTCCAGGCCGAGGGATACCAAAGAGACACAACAACTAAATGCAGTGGTTCATCCTGAATTGTATTCTAGTCTAGAAGGAAAAAAAAAAAATCCTACAAAGAACATTACTGGCACAAACAACAACATTTGAAATACAGACTGTGGATTAGATAGTACTGTGCAAACATTAAATTGCCTTAAATTGATAAATTCATTGTGTGTTTAGGTTGAGAGTATCTTTGCTCATAGGAAATTTGTATTAAAGTATCAGTTGTCAAGGAGTATAATGTCTCTAACTTAGTCTGGAAAAATTCAAGAAAACAGATGGGGATAGATGGTGTGAAAGGAGGCAGCAGGAAGGGAGGAAAGCACAAGATATGGGCAAATGGAAGTCATCCGAGAGTCCAGGGAAAGGCTATGCAGATGTGCCTTGAACTATTCTTGCAACTTTTCTGTAAGTTTAAAATTATATCAAAATAAAGTTACCAAAAAAATACCCTAACTGCCAAAAATTTAGGTAAAAGATCACTAAGAAACTAACTCAATGTATTCTAAGACATTCCTTCAGAAATACTGGGTTCAAAATTATGTTTTTTGCTCTGGTAGGAAGTTCACAACACTAGTTGAATCTAAATTCCTTTTTAGAACTAAAAACCAACTCATCTAAGATTCAAATAAGGTTTTTTCTTTTCTTTTTTTTCAAATTCCAGTGACAGACGCCATCATTTTAGGAAGCTTTATGAGACAATAAAGCAGAAATTGAAATGAAAGCAACTTCATTTTTTCTGTGTGCCAAGGGAAGATGAAACACGGTAAGAAATGACTATGGGTGATGACTTGGCCTTCCCCGCCACAGAAGCCCCGCCTCAGGCTACATGAAAAGGTCTACATACTTTCCTAGCATTATTTCTAATAAACAAGGTAAAGAATAAGAGCATTTCTACTCAACAGAGCTTATCCTACCTCCCCAGTCTCTCTGTATTTGCTGCTCAATCAAAACACAAACATGCCCTTGGTCCTACAGAAAAAGCATAAATACTAAAGACTACCAAAGGAAAAATGACTTTTCAATGTCCAAAAAGTTTCTGAAGTCATTAGCCCCAAAGAATCTTTTTAAAACAGTAACAACGAAGATATGACTCAGTATAAAAAGTATCATGCTAGTATGCATTAAAGGGAAAAAAATCGCATGCACAGAGATGGGAATGTAATTGGATTTGTCATTTCCAAGTATTAATGTTGGGTTTGCATATAATAGGGAATGACATGCTCCTTGATGAGAAAAGAAGGTAGCCAAATAAGTGAATGCTGTGCTTCTACTGTAAGGAAACACAGGCACCAAGGAAGCAACCTTTTCAGCACAAAGGAAATTTAATACCCAGACCACATGAAAAGTGATCACTACGGGAATAGTGCAGCTGTTAAAATCCAAGTCAGCTTGTATTAGATCGTCTAGTACATTTGTGTGAAGCAGGATTCTCAGAATGACCACCATAGGAAGTAATCTGCTAACAAAAACATGGTACCTTTATTTAATTTAATGCTTACACTAAGTGTGAAAGAAAAATGCAAAGCTATTCTCTCTTCAAAGAATGCAAGGGGCCCCAGTTAGGTGGTATGCGTCCTACTTTTTTTTTTTTTTTTTTGTAAACAGTATCTTTTGGAGTAATTTACTTAGAAATAGAATAAGAAAGAACCCAATTATCTTCATTTCATTGACTAGCCAAACATAGAAAGACTGGCACCTGTACGGAACAAATTCAACTTGAAAATTAATATGGCCAAGTTATTCTGAGACCAATTAGCTCTGCCATACAAAGGAAAAATACACTTCACTGAAGAGCACATAATCCTAAAACCTGTATTTCTGAAGAAAGCAGCACACATAGACATCCTGGAGGCCCCGACCTGAGTGGATATAAGATACCTTAAAGGAACTAAACAGAACGAGTTTGCGGATAATTATTGACAAATAGGCATTTGGGATGCCTAACAATACAACAGGCTTAGTTTACTTCTGAAGTAAAAAAGAAAGCTTACTCCCAACCTCTCAGCACCTAGAGTCAACCAAATTTACCAAAAAGGTTTATCAAACCCAATTCCATTTTTACAGAAACTGGTCAGGATATCTCATAAAATATGATCCATGTAAAGTTTTCGACAGAAGCTTGTCAACTCAGAGTAGAGATTTCCTCTGTAGAATTCAATTCCATTAGCACTGCTGGATGCAGGGCACACAGCAGAGAAGTCCCAGTCAGAGCTGAGTGGCCACCATTTTGGATAAGTAAACTCCAACAGTATTCTGCATGACATTTCAACATGAAGCCTTTCCTTATCAGTCAAGAAGGTTTTTTTTTTTGTTTTTGAGACAGGGTTTCACTATATAACCCAGGCTGGCCTTAATTAATAATCAGGATTTTAAGAGCCCAGGTTAAGTCACTGGGTGTTAGAAGGCATAAAGGGACACTCTAAAGGAAGTCAGCTGTCACATAGAGTATACATGAAGGAATAACTCAGACAGCATCTCAAAGCCCATTAGAAATGAGACGCCATCACTATAGTTTTGAGATACATCAGCCGGTTCCCATTACAATGAGACAACAGACCAGCTCTATTTTTAGAGCTGCTGAAAAGATCAAAGAGAAAGGGGCCTTTTATTGGCTCTCTATCCAGGCCCCTAATCTCTGTTTACTTTTCCTTTGTCATTATGTAGATCTCCAAAAAGACACCCAGCCAGGACTGCCTGGAATCCTCCACCTTCTGAGTAATGCTTAAAAACTGCTCTAAGAGTATCCATGCAGGGAAGGAGACCCTCTAGGGAGGAACAAAAACCAGTAAGGTTCAAGTTCAGGCCAAAATTACTGTAATTCAAGTATTGACACACAGCTAAAATACCAGTCTCAGTCTCTCACTAAGCCAACTTTCCCCAGGCTGGGTTCTCTTCTCCTTGTCAGTGAGGATGAATACAGACCAATGAAAACAGGACAGTGCTCTTCCTGGCCTGCCTTCCCCACAAAATGTCCATGGTTTGTTTCAGTGGCTGTAGCTGGTAAGGCTGAGGTTAAATGCCCATTGGTTCACTTCTGAAAACAAGTACTTCGAATGCAAAATGACTTACTTTGGAAGAACAAGCTGTACATTTGTCAAATGCCAGGCTGACAGGAAGGACATTATCAAACCGTGACAGAAATCCCCGGATCTAGAAACAAAACAGAACATTTTGCATCAAGTATGGAATGACCACATCTATGAAAATGTTTGTCTAATCTCTGACAAGGAGGCAGAAATGATTATTATGATGGTCCTGATGGAAATTACTAGCAAAAATGGAGCTCCCATGAATATTTTTGCTTGTACTGTAATCGATTTGGGGAAGAAATATATAGGGTCCTTTATTCCAAAAGGAGCCAGGGCCTACGTGATTTTCAAATATTTGAAACCCAAAAGCAAACTGACTCAAAAATACCAAAAGCAAGCTGTAATATCTAAAGTTTGTTTTTTTTTTTTTTTTTTTTTTTTTGCAGTATTAAGGTTTGAACTTGGGGTTGGCGCTCTACCACTTAAGCCCTGAGCCCAAGTCCCTTTTGCTTCAGCTGTTATTTGAATAGAGTCCCACAATGATGGCCAGATTGGCCCAGATTTTGATCGTCCTATTTATGCTTCCCCATAGCTGGGAGACAGGCACCTCACTAGCCCAGCTTTTAGTGACTGACATGGGAGGGGGCCTCACAAACTTTTACGTGAGGGAACCTTGAACCACAATCTTCCCAGGCTCCACCTCCTGAATGCTTAGAATTATAGCATGAGTCACTGCACCTGGCCTGAAGTACTGTTTTAACAATGTCTTCAAAAATATATAGCAGCTTGGGTTGTAGCTCAGTGGTAGAGAGCTTGCCTAGGCCTGGGTTCCATCCCCAGCACCACAAAATCAAAACCAGACCCAGTCAACAATGCTGCCTCTCCTACATAAATGACAGCAACTGAAATTAGAGAGCATTTCCACAATAGTACAAAGGTAGGGTTTGGGGAAGTCAGAAGACTTGTGGATGATAGAAGAGAGAGGGTTCCTAAATACAGGGCCCAGGGAAATGGCTCAGGTAAATGGTAAAAATGCATAGCAGCTCTATTTGTGGGGAAATACCACCACCTGGAGGAGAAACTTTTAACTGCAGCAAATTCACATTCAGGGTCAGCAGCACCCAGCTTCTGCCCACTGTGGCTCAGATCATTTTTGCAAGAACACTGCACATCTAGAACAATACTCAGGCCAGAAGTGGAGCTTCCATATCTCTTGTATAGCATTAACATATTATTTCTAGATTATTATTTCTAGAAGGATGGCAAAAACCTCTCCAGTCTCCACAGGACCCACTATTTGAAATAAGCCAGACCACAGGACTCTTCTCATGAATTCATTTACTTAATTTTCCCAATTACCCCATTTTATTCTTTGTGGCGCTGGGGATGAAACCCAGGGCCTTGTACATGCTAGGCAAGGGCTTTACCGCTGAGCAACCTATTCTACCCAATTGTCTCATTGTAATTTGACAATTCAGGCTTAGAAAAGTGAAGCATCTTGGCTCAGGTAAGTGGTAAGCAGTAGGGCTCAGATTCAAAAGCAGCCCTTCTGGCTCCAAACTTGGCCCAGGCCTGGGCTGCCTGATGACTAGCAGGCTGGTTGGCTCTCTCCTTTCTTCCCTCAGGATATCATGGCTTTTGTCTTTACTATTAGGTCTCCTCAACATATTTATTTTTGGTGCTGGGAGTGGAACCCAGGGTCTCAGGCCTACTAAGTACAGGCTCTACCACTTAGTACACTCCCAGGCTCTGCTTACAACTTAAATAGAATGAAGGAACCAACCCACCTACTCTCCTTACCCACAGCCATCCTACCAACACCCATCTGCAACACACAAACAAGCCTGAAAAACTAAAGAAAAAGACTTCCTGCTGAGTTTGGGTAACTCCATCTTTATGTCACACTCTCCCTCATGCCACTCGCCACCCCCCCACCCCCAGCCAATAGTCTAACTGAATTTGTGCACTTATTTCCCGAACCCCTTGCAGGAACTGCTGATAGGCAATTTCCCAAATGTCCTTATCAATATGCTATGCAATTTCACTGTGATCCAAGAGCATGCGAGTGTGTGGGTAGAAGTTATAAATTAGGCTAAAGACAGCCTCATTGTGAACCTCTGAGAATATGACAATCTTTTGGCTTCCCACACCAGGCATGTGGTGAACAAGTTCATTACCATAGTCAGAATACCAAAAGAAGAGACGTTAGCACGACAGAAAAGATTTTAATTGCAAGTCACAAAGGGAAATGTTGAGAGCTCTACAAGTTGCGGGCTTGATTAAATGCTCATAGTGAGTGTCCTATACACCCAAGTTACTCTCATACTAAATTCTTTTAAAAAACTATCGTATTTCGCATATGTTCCCTTAAAATGTTATTTAACGTGGCCTATACACAGTGTCCCCATATATTCTGTTTTCTCTCACAAAGCTTGTTAGCTTTCTTTTTGTTGTAAAAAGAATACTGTTATTTTCTCTGCTAAACTGTCTGAGTAGAGGTGGAAGCCAAAGCTGAAGGGAAGGGGGAGAGCAGGCACTCAACAGGAGCTGAAAGGAAGAGAGCAAAAGGAGAGAAGGAAAAAGAAAACAAAACCCACCAACAACACAGGTGGTGAGGAGAGGAATAAGGAGACTGGGTAACTGGATTGGCAGAGCAAGGCCCAGAACACCATTGCTGTGCCCACAGACAGCTCTGTACTAGGAAACAGTGATTCTTTTTTCCCAGGAAATGAAGTAGAATTATGTCTCTGTGTGAATATTTACAAATTCAAAACACTGGAATCACAAGGCCCAGAACACAACCAAAGCAATTCCAGTTCTAGAGAACTTAGAAGAGGAAACCCTTCTCAGAGGATTGGAACTGACTCCTATTGGGTATGTGCAGAGGTGGGCTCTCTCTCTTCCATTTAACGGCAAGCTCTGCCATCTACTCATGTTCCTAGAACATGGCTCTGAGGCCTGTCACTTTTCATTAGCTTCCTAGAGCTGTCCAAATAAAGCAGAGAATTCCTTACACCAGAACTCTTTTCCAGGCTCTGTACTACTACTGGGTTGACGACAACTTCCCTTCAAGGGACAACCCTGATTTCCTCATCTTGACCCATGCCGATTTCATGACTCAGAACTTTTCCCTTTGATAACAATTCCCAAATCCTCATCTTCCTTAAAGGCCACTCAGCTCAACCACAGCTCTTTCATCAATACTTGGTCTACCTACCAACCTAGAAATAACGTCTCCCTCCCCTCAAATTCTTCTTTTGCTCTTTATGCCCCAAATACCTCATGTGATAGTGGTACTTTCTAATTAATAACAGATTTGTTTAGATAGTATTCACATGCCAAATTATACATCTTTTTAAAGTACATATAATTCAGTGTTTTTCAGTATACTCAATTGAACCGTCATTACCATTATCCAATTTCAGGACATTTTCATCACCCTAAAAAGAAGCCCAGAACCCAAAAGCAATTAATCCTCACTCTCCTCTTTTCTCAAACCTTGGCAACCACTCATGTTTCTTTATTTCTATCAATTTACCTATTCTGTATATTCCCTATAAATACTTATACATGACTGACTTCTTCACTCAGCATGTTTTCATGCAGACTGTACTGTGTACCACCAGCACGTCATTCCTTTTTATTGCCAAATGAGATTCAAAATTTTATGGCTAGGCTATACCACATTTCTTTACCCATTCATTAGGGACTGATTGCCATTTCTCTCGGGTATGTACCTTGGAGTGGAATCACTGGGTCATATGGCAGTTCCATGTTTAACATTTTGAAGAATTACCAAAGCACTTTCCAAAGTGACCACATAATATTACAATTCCACTAGCAAGGTACAAGGGTTTCAATTTCTCCACCTTCTTGTCAACACTTGTTATCATTTTTTTGGTTGCATTCATTCTAGTGAGTGTGATCTGGTATCTCACTGTGACTCTGATTTGCATTTCTCTAAGGACTAGCAACATCAAGCAACTTTCCATGGTTTCTTGACCTTTTCTATGTCTTATTTGGAGAAATGTCTATTCAAATCCTTGGCAAAATTATAAGTTGGATTGTTTGTCTTTTTACAGCTGCATTATAAGTTCCTTATATATTCTTTTGGATACAAGTTTCTTATCACAAATATGATTTGCAAGTATTTCCTCCTGTTATATGGTTTGTCTTTTTGTTTTCTTGAAGCATGGAAATTAATTTTTTTTTTTTTTTCATTTTTCTTTTATTATTCATATGTGCATACAAGGCTTGGTTCATTTCTCCCCCCTGCCCCCACCCCCTCCCTTACCACCCACTCCACCCCCTCCCGCTCCCCCCCCAATACCCAGCAGAAACTATTTTGCCCTTATCTCTAATTTTGTTGTAGAGAGAGTATAAGCAATAATAGGAAGGAACAAGGGGTTTTGCTGGTTGAGATAAGGATAGCTATACAGGGAATTGACTCACATTGATTTCCTGTGCGTGGGTGTTACCTGGAAATTAATTTTCATGAAGTCTATTTATATATTCCTCTTTTGGTGCTCAATATAAGAAAATACTAACTCAACGTGAGAGAGAGTTATGACATTGTCTCCTAGAAGTTGTACAGTTCTAGCCCTTACATTTAAGTCTATGATCCAGTTTGACTGAATTTTTGTATATTTGTATATGGTATAAGATGAGGGTCTAAATTCTTTGTTTTTCATATAAAAATTCAGTTATGCCAGAACTATTTGTTGAAAAGACAACTCTACTGAACTATCAGTTGTCCACACATTTATGGGATCACTTATAGACACTTATTTCTAGTTTACTGATCTGTATGTAATTACCACACTGTCTTGATCACAGGAGCTTGGTATCAAGTCTGAAACCAGAAAGTATGAGTTCCCCAATTTTGTTCTTTTTGAAGATTATTTTGGCTATTCTGGGTCCCTGGCATTTCCAAATGAAATTTAGATCAGACTGTATGCTATAATTACTTTTAAAAACATGTATTTTTGTTTGTTTGTTTTTGAGTTAGGGTCTCATTATGCAGCTTGAGACCCTCCTGCTTCAGCCTCTGAAGTGCTGGGATTACAGATGTGCACCACCTTGTCTTTTTTTTTTTTTAAATCTCCCTTTCTTCTAGGACAA